GCGTCTATTAATATTAATAACAGTGCAATTTCTGATCAATAACAATTGCACCTTAATAACTTTCAAATGATTTCTATAGTAAATTTATTTGCAATGCTTGCTGTAGGAAAACTATTGGCAATGCATTGATACTGAACATATAATATCCATATTCTGTCTTGCATTAAATTTTACCAACCGACAAAAGCATTTTTCCGTTCTGGTAATGACGATAAACTACATTAGGCAGCAAGCCTCTGATCGGGAAGTTTTGAGCATCGTTAATTGCTGTTGTTCGGGGTGGTAGCATCTGTCGGGGTCCCAATTATGGGCAAATAGTTAACCCCCAAACTGGGGTTAAAAAAACTATGGAAGTATAAATAATACATTTTCTATAGTAAAAATACCAGCAATACATTTTCATCGGAAAAAGACATCACCGCAATACGTTAAATACATTTTCGATGTATTTCTATAGAAAATTTATTAGCAATGTATTCACTTTATATATAGATTATTGATTTAGACTGGTTGTTATTAATGTTACTGCTTAATAAATAAGGAATAGTAACTCGAACACGTTCACTCACACCAAATAACGTTTATTGTAATAAGAAATATAAGTCAAATCCTCCTCTTGCGAACATTTCTCTTAATAATAATTGGAAAATATTTTAGCAGACGATTTATTTATGGTAACTGGATTTTTGCCGATTGCCTTACTCGGTTTCCGTCGTTTCATACTGTGCGTCTGAATATGGCGCTTTTATCGGAGTCGCCGTTGTCTCTCGGCCTTTGGGTGGGAATAAAATTATAATATCTACCCTTGGGCGGATAAGCTACATTTCAAACCTCCCTTTGTCTTCGGACAGATCACAACTCAGCTTTGTTTCTGTCTGCGGACAGAGAGCAACTGAAAATATTAATGAAAGGTGCCCGGTCACGAGAAAGAGCTGCCCGAAGATGTACCTCCCTCATTGCACTAAAGATGGGTTAGTAATACCGATTTTGTTATTTTGGGACCTGGTTCGAGTACACGCGCTTGGGCTCACCATATAAAACTGACCTTGTGTCACATCCTGCCAGCGTGTGGGATTGTATGAAAATACAATTGCTTCTAGACTTTTTGACTAAGATCAAAGTGTTGTATCTGTTATTATCAACTTAATCTAATTCTCTCTTACTTCTGATTTTCCTTCTAAAGCCCACTGAAACCAAGTAGTGTCTTTTCCCCTTTTTCCACGCGGTTAAAATGAAATAGTCCATTATTTATGAGAAGTTGGCAGGGCGTAAGGGTCGTACGAACTATCGAATGTAGGAACAAGCAGAATTGTAATAGGATATTATGCATATAATTGCTGAATTCTATCTTTTATGCTTCCATTAATTAATGACAATCGACTATACCATTTTTAAAATTTTTAATGCAATTCTATAGAAAATCATTAGTAATTTATATTATACTTTTAAAAGTCCCGTTCTATCTGCAATATGTGCATTCATTCCAGACCACTAAAAATACCATCTCCTTTTCAATGCGTTTTTCTAGAAAAATCATTAGCAATGCATTTACATAAAACCTATTCCTTATTCTATTAATAACGCTTTCCTGACAATCAAAAATGTCTCTTTTCATTTTCACTCTATTTCTAGAGATCATTAGCAATGTGTTTACGTTATACATAAAATAACATTATTCTATCAGTCACTGGCAAACTGGGTGCCAAAATATTGGTTACCAGGAGACAAAGGGGCCCACCCACAACTCGAACGCTATCTCTTATTTATCATAACGAATAAAAAAATGCTCCAAAAATGCAAACGAGGAAAAGGGTACAATTAAAATTTTTGTGGAAAATAAGTATATTTCTTATTAATTACTCTCTCTCTCTCTCTCACTCTCTCTCTCTCTGTCTCTCTCTGTCTCTCTCTGTCTCTCTCTCTGCATGTAAATTATTCCTCTTTGGAGGGATTTTAATGCACACTTATCTCTCAGTTGCGTCTCTGTCTTTGGACAGAGTGCGCTCAGGGGCTTCTCTGCCTAAGGACAGAGGGGCAACTGAGGAAAATTTTACTGAAGAGGTCCCCAAGCCCTGGGGAACAGCTGCTCGAGGCCGCGCCCTCCCATTGCACAATAGGGAGGGATCGGTGCTCGCACCGAGGCCAGCGCAACGACGGTTGCGGAAGCTGAGGAGAATTTTTGACCTTGCCCGGGTGCACGCGCTCGGGTCCCCACATTAATCCGACCTTGTGTCGCATCTCATTCTCGTGGGGGAATGAGTAAACACTGTATCTCTCTCTCTCTCTCTCTTTCTCTCTCTCTCTCTCTCTCTCTCTCTCTCTCTATATATATATATATATATATATATATGTATATATATATATGGATGTATGTATGTATGTGTGTGTGATTGAAAAAATTATTACAAACATTATGTCTGCTTATTTTCATCATAATCCTTTCATATTGACGAATATTACAATTGAATAAGGCAAGAACTGCACTGTAACAGTTAGAATTACTTTTATTTCCTAAGTACTTTCCATCTCTTTCTGTGATCAATATCAGATGATCTCAGAAAGACATGGAAAATACTTGGAAAATAAAGATAAGAGATTACGTGTCCCCCAAAATTTCAACTCTCTCCTCCTGATATTCAGTCAATGATATTCTCAACATCCTTCTGTAGAAAAATTTCTGTTACTTCAAGTCTCTTCTTCATCTTTGAGGAAATTGTTCAGCATCCACTGTCATATAGGAGGACAGATGTCCCGTAAGAGTTCAGTACTCTTTTCATTGTTTTTAACGAAGTTTTTCTGTTTCTTAATACTTTGTTTCCGGAAGGCACCTTTCACTATCCCAATGCATCTTTCAGTGTCTCACTTCCTGTCTATTGTTAAAACACTTCGGAGATATTTAGATTTTTGTACTTTGTTTGATTTTGGTATCCGCGATTTTTTCCATTTGCATTTTGGGCTCATCCTTTTGCTAACAACCATTCATTCTGTCTTCTTGTAGCTTATGTTTCGTTCTTTTATTTCGCTATCTAATGTAGTCGCTTTTATAGTTTCTTTCCGTGTCTTCTATCAAGACTGTGTAATCTGCATATCTTATGTTGTCAAGATTGTGGCCGCCAATAATGAATCCTGGTAGGACATCTAATTTTCAGAGAATTGCCTCGCTGTATAAGTCGAATAAATCCGGTGAGAAGACCTATCCTTGTCTTACACTCATTTCTATTTTAGTGTATCTGCTGAAGCCATTTTCTCTATGTATGCAAGCGGTTTGTTGCTAGTATAGGTTCTTGATTATTCCAATATCCTTCCCAAATATGTCCAGGTTGCTGAGCAGTTCTAACAGATCTCTGAGGCGTATTTTATCGAACGCCTTTGCTTAATCTATAAAGCACAGATATACGTCCTTCTGCATTTTGAAAACTTAACGATATTTTTCCTCCACACATATCATCCACTTATTCATGGCTTATCAACCTTTTGCTGGTTATTTAAAGCCAGAATCTATATTTAGATTGTAAATTTTTTGGTGGAGGAGAGATATTAACAGTTTACTGATACAAGTCCTACTAATTAACCCATAGCTGGAGGGAAGAAGTGGTTGATTCATACGTATCGCAAAGGTATTCGCGCCTCAGTGAATACAACGAACCCAACTGGAATTAGAACTTCCGAGCCGTTACTCATTACACCACCCGCACATACAAGCTGGCATTGTGTAGCATGTGTCTGTTATATTATTATCACACTTGGTATCATGATGGGTATACTGGGATTTGTATCTTTGTGTCCCAGCTACTTTCTTAATAATAATAATAATAATAATGACAACAACAACAACAACAATAATAATAATAATAATGATCCAGAAACAATAAGACCATCTTGTATCAAGTTGCGCGGTATTGGCACCCATTGAATATAAAACACGGCACAACAGAGTGGGACAATATCTGCACTGGAAAATCTGCAACAGCTACGGAAAGGAAACTGCAAGGAATTGGTATGAACACCACCCAGACCTGGTTACGGAGAATAGGACGTGTAACAATTTTATGGGACTTTACAATACACACAGACAGAAGAATCAAAGCTAATCGTCTTGACATCGTGATTAGAGACCGCGAAGACAAAATGTGCCTCCTTATTGGCATTGCAGTCCCTGCAGACTGCAATGCATCTTTGATCTTCAAAAAAATATAAAAATACAAGAACCTTGAAATGTAAATCTCAAAAATGTGGCACATGAGGACATCAACAATTTCAGTTGTAATTGGAGCCCTAGGATTGGTTGGAAAAGATTGCAGTAGACTAATTGAAGGGATTCCTGGAAGTCCATGCCTCAAGGAGATAGAAAAAAACTGTTCTGACAAGTACAGCCCACACTTTACTATGTAATTTTTTTTTTGTCAGTGGAAAGTGTCATGACGCCATTTCTAAACTTAGGTCCCTGGGCGGGACCCGGAAAGAAATGTGTAAACGCCAGAAATCAAAGAAAATAATAATAATAATAATAATAATAATAATAATAAAACGTGAAAATGATAAGTGGGGGGTTTTGATTTGACATGAAGTCAGTTTTATGAGAAATTTCAAATATTGCATCAGACTACCAACTAATATACGTTTCTTTCAAAATTTGTCAGACGTCAGTACACATTATAAATACTGTACTTATTAGTAACTAGCAGGGTTACCGTGTGTAGTCCGAGTTTTATATCAAAATAATACCAGGAATATTCCACCAAATTAGACCAGCTGCGCGTTGGTGTAATGCATAGCTGTTCAGAACGAGAAATTGGAGAACTGAGTTCGAATTCCAATCATTATTTAAAACCAGGGTTTTACTAATTAACCCATAGCTAGCGGGAGAAGAAGTGGATTCATACTTTCCTCAAGGTTATTTTCGCGGAAGTGAATATACCGAACCCAGCTGGAATTGGAACTCTGCACGCCGATTACCAATTCCAAGTCATTATCCATTGCACCATCCACACGCCCAAGCTCACATCACCTGGTATTCCCAAGCGGTCACCCATCTGGATAATGACCAAGATCAACGTTACTTGACTTCGGTGATCGTACGGAGACCGGTGTTTCAACGTGATTTGTCCGTAAGCTTCATGCTTCCTGAATGGCTCGGCCTAATTTCATGAGGAAAATAGCGTTTATTGAACATTTGTTTCGTTTCGTACTCACTTCTTCACACTCTTATTCTCTCGTACATAATCACAAACATAAAAAAATGATAAAATTAGAATTTAAAACCATTGGGAATTTTCGCTGAGGAAGATCATATGTGTAAGTATCTTTTCTTTAGAAGAGGAAATGCTCATAATATTTTTTCTCTGGAGAAGAAATACATTTTGCTTTTAGAAATACTTTTGCAATTACATCAATGCAAACAACACTTTATTCCGATGGACTAAACGCGTCACACAAAAAATCTTTTCCTTTTTGCCATAGAAGTTCCTAAAATTGTTCTGATATATATATATATATATATATATATATATATATATATATATATATATATGCTATTTTTAAAAATATTGTCCCATCGCTAACCAGGAATTACCATGTTTCAAAACAGGAACTAAAATTTCAAATTTAATTATAAAATTAATTAGTCCCATTCCATTCTCAAACGATTTTGGAATAACCTATTAATAATATATATATATATATATATATATATATATATATATATATATATATATATATATATATTATGGAAATAAAAACGGCAAGACGAGCTTTACCATTCATGATTAAAAGGAAAAAAAAAAGACCAGCCAACCGGTTTCGTCCTCACTCAACAGAGTTAAAATCTAGGGAAGATAAATTATTGCAATATAAAATATAAAAAACATGAGAAGCATGTGATAAAATAGAGGTGGAAAGATCAAATGGAAATCATGTCAAGCCCTAACAGGCATTCCCTCTGTTTACAGAGGGAGGGCTGCCTGGACCTGACATAGATCCTTTCCAATACCTTTAAGAGTAATACAGAATTAGCATGACTAAGGATGGAAAATGAATCTTCTCAAATTTGTGGCACAACTTGGATTGTTTATAAGGTGCTCAGCAACGGCGGGGCCGTATATGTTCCTGTTCCAGTCACCAGATTGGAACGTACTATTCCTAATTCTTCCAGGTACGTGCTGGTTAATCCGTGCGTCTAAACGTAAGGTAGTTCTACCTATGTAGTCGGCTCCGCAACTACATCCAAAACGGTATGTTACATTATTAATATGGTGGAGAGGCAGAACTTCCTTCCGAGCAGACACCCAAGGAGACCTGGTAGAAAAAACAACACGCATATATATATATATATATATATATATATATATATATATATATATATATGTGTGTGTGTGTGTGTGTGTGTGTGTAAATCCACGTATTCTATTTTTACAAGTGTATTCAGTTTTTATGTCATGAACTAAGTATATAGTTCAATGTCATAGTAGTAATTTTTTTATAGGAATTTTTTTTTTTTTTTTTTTAACACATCACAAGAAATATTTAAATAAAGTTCTCACTTAAAAAATTTTGAAAAACTTAGCGTTGCATCTTGGCACGTTCTGATATCTTACAACCGTCAATAATAGCAGATATTCAAAAAACATCTTTCGGTCGACATACAGGTATATCGTCTCAAGTTTTTGATTTTATAAGGAAAAAAAAACACATGCCTGATGATGGATGGAAGACTGTCCGTAAGTACTAGCATTTTAACATCAAATAAACTGAAAAACTACAGACAACAAGTTATTCTTCAAGGATCAAAACTCGCACTATGGATGAACAGGATTTTAATGCATATATTATGTTTTCTAGCGATGTATGTCGCCAATAATCGCATTGATACTTCTGATTAATTCTATGTGTGATTATTCTTTATATATATATATATATATATATATATATATATATATATATATATATATATATATATATATATATATATATATATATATATATATATATATATAAATATATATATATATATATATATATATATATATATATATATATATATATATATATATATATATATATATATATATAAGTGGACACTGAGTTCAACAAGAAGCAGCAACAGGCTGTTTTATGCTTCGACTCAATCTTCGGGCTATCCGATTGCCTGAAGATTACTTTCAAGCATGGAACAGACAGTCGCCGCTTGGTGTTCACCTCATTATCCACCTTTTATATTTACATACGCTCTATCTCATAAATATTGAAAGCCATATTTTTATCATATAGGATGGGCTCTCCCGTCGATTTCGATGTATGAGGATCTGACAACGTCATTTAGCTTTATGTTTGTGTCATGTGTGACATTTCAGTCAGGCAAGTGAGCTGCATACAGGTCCACATATTGTACAACAGCGAGGATCTCGTGACATAGCAACAGGAATATTTGATGACGCTTTTCGCCGTTGTCTTTCACTCTCTTAGCCGTTCAATACGACTGATTTCAAAATTTCTTTTACACCTTTGGCCCAAATACCCCCAGTTACTTCTATTCAGGGCAACTTGCTCAAAGTTAGTATGAGGCACATTAACAGCAGATAGCTTGTCTTTATACCTGAGATACGGCTGTTCAACAGTACTTTATCCACTATCGATCTGGCTGTATACGAGGAACTTAGGTATTCTGTCGTCACTCATCCTTGCAACATGACCACCAGATCACATCGCACGGAGACAACTCTATCATATATATATATATATATATATATATATATATATATATATATATATATATATATATATATATATCATATATCATATATTAAGAAATGGACAAAGTCCGACAATTTATTTATTAAAGACATTTTTATGTTTAACGTTCTTTTTATAGATACAAGTATTTAAGTAAATGCTCTGTTTATAATAAACAGTATTAAGTAACATTTACCAGCCTGAATGTCCGAGAAATTTTCATAGAAAATATTCGTACTTTACTTATGTCGAATTTACTGCTTATAAACTTCAATCTTCCATGAATCTCGTACATTCATAACTGCTCATGGCGTATCAACCTTGCCAACCGAACGATCTATAAAAAAGAACGTTAAACATAAAAATGTCTTTAATAAATAAATATATATATATATATATATATATATATATATATATATATATATATATATGCGTATTTCCACTAATTCGGTATACGTAAGGTGTAAAATGAATTTTTAATTGAAGCATTCATTTTAGCTTTAATTGAAAGCTAAAAGATTTAAAATTTACTATTTCAGTAAGCAAAATACTCTTTGGTGTATTTCGAACAGAAATTATATTGACCGGAATCGATTTTTTAACAGAAAATGACGTCAGAAAAACAATTTTTTAATTAAAATTTCGAATCTTCTAAAAAAGAGTAAGAAATTTCATTAAATATTCAAAAAATACTTTGATTCTTCCTCTTAATAATAACATAAAGATTTTTTAAAGATAAAACTGTTTTCATTTCGTTTGGAATATGTTTTCATCACGGTATACTGATTTTTTGCGATTTCGTTGCAGTACCTGTATATTACCAACCTGGCTACTTATACGGTCTCTCTCAAAAATTAAAAAAATATGATAAAAAAATAATTTCCCCATTTATATGGCAGATGTCTAATGATCACAGCTGAGGCACCTTCAGCAATAAATTATCTTGCGTTTTTTTTTTTTTAGTAGCTTGGTTAGCCTTTTGTTGAGTCATATTTCATGCTGCCCAAAAGTCGGAAAATATTGACAATGCTTGTTCTTCATATTATCGTTTGAATGTTTAAGCCGCTCACATATACGCACCTCCGAATGCTCTTTATTACGAAATACATGACTTGCAAGTTCGTCGTCGATTGACGGTAGGGTGTCTAGAGTTATCTAATTAGTCAAGTGTCATTCATTCATGAAATTGCCGATACGAAACCAGCAGAGATGGATTAAACAAAGAAAAGGTTTTTCAAGTAAAATTCAAAAGAGATTAAAAACAAATTCAGTAATATCAGCTATTTTAAGTCATAATATCGATTAACTTACTCTTCACTGAAATTTTAACAACTTAGTCGACAGGATTTAAGATTATCAGATAAGCAATGACATGTCAGGCCAACTCTAGCGAGTTGGTATTTGAAAAAAAAAATTCTAATTAGTGTTTTCAAGGTTTTTATCTCTAACCTACAGACAAAAAACTTGTTATATAATTGTTATGGTCCAGGTCCATGTACCACAATGATGGTCCAAGGTAGAACCAATAAAGAAGAACTCGAACACGGATATGGAATAACACAGATATATTACAAACAGGAATATATACAGAGAAGTAGAAAGTGTTAGTACGAATCAGGTTTAGTAGGGAGAACAATGTAGTCTCGAGTAGTATCACTATTCCAATGTCTTGTAGTAATTGTCTGAACGCGACTCTGTTCGGACTGCCTCTGACTCGACTGACTGACTGACAGACGGACTTCACTCCAGAATTTAGACTGAACAGTATTTAGTCACCCCCCACGAGGGCATCATGTGGCACAAGGCCAGTTTGACGTGGGATCTCCGAGCCCGAGGGCTCGGCCAAAAATATGCCCTTTGAACCCGTATAAACGGGTTCAGGGTCGGTTTACCTCCCCGGAAGAGACTCCGCTCTTCGGCATAGCCTCGTTCGGGTTCCTCCCCGCCTGAAGGCAGAGAGTTCAACCGATCAGCCGGCCAGCCTGTCGCCGGTCGCCCGACTTCGGACTGAACTCCCTGCTTCCTCTTGAGGCGCAGTACTTATTACGTATGGAATAGTCCATTATGTTATTATGGGTAAAGTCCCATAACAATAATTATACAGGGAGTATAATTTTAGATAATTTAAGTTTTGGAGTTAGATATGATATTAAATTGTAAAAATCCTATTATAACGACCGTTACGCCTTGCCAATTCCTCATAAATAATGAGCTATTCCTTTTTGATTGCGTGGAAAAAGAGGAAAGACACTACTTGGTTTCAGTAAGAAAATGAAAGAAAGAAATGTGAAGGTGCAGGATATATGGATATGAGGGAAAGATAACGGTTGACGTTAGATTTGAACAAGTTAAGATTGTAGTGGTCGGAGGAAACATCCTCT